CCAGCTGGACCCGCGTTAGCCGAGCTCCGTGCGCCCACCTGCGTTCGGCCCTGCAGGGCCCGGGCTGCGGCGCGGGCGGGCGGCGGGCGCCGCGTCGCCGCTGGGTGGCCTCGTGCGCGCACGGCTGGCCCGCGAGCGCGGGGCGAAGGGTAGGAAGTGCTCCCAGCTGCGCGCTCCCAAGCGCACGGGCTGCAGCGTTAACGGAAAGCGCGGAGCGATGAAGGGCGCGCTGGGCGCCAGGTGGTGCGCTGCGCAACCGAAGCGCGTTACTTCTTGGTTTCTCCACAGAGGAGCCCTGGATCTATGATTGTGCCCGACTTAGAAACGAGGACATGAATTTGCCTCGGGCTTCAAGGAGTCAGGTACCAGCGTAATCACCATGGAACTCTTCCTGCGCGGACAGCAGAGGTAGGTCTCACCTTCGTCTCCTGAACACCTCCGGACGCTGGCTGGTGGGAGAACCCAGACTGGAAAGTCTGTGGAGGTCCTCAGCCCTTGCGTTGAAACGCCAGGTGCTCACAGTACCTGTGCCGGGGTTGTTCCTGCAGCTTTGCTGGTAACAACCCACCTGTCCGGCACTAGGAGATTAGCTGATGTAAACGTCCTGGAGGCGTCCGCTGGAATCCGAGCAGGCCCTAAGGAGACCCCAGTGGACGGCACTGGCCCGAAATGATCTTCAGAAGGTGTCTTAGGACGTTGGCTCAGGGAAAGTGCCGTTTTTGTGCTTTATGTATGTGTGCGTGCATATTTATACATTCACAACTGCTAGAAAGATGGCCCAGGATACTCACAATAGTCCTAGTGAATGAAACTGAACTTGGGGATGACGGTTGTAATCCTTTGACATTGTCTTCCCCAACAATCCAATGCCCACAGGAGCCTGGAATGTGGAGGCTCAGTAAAAAGAGAAACCCGACTCAAGGGAACAGTTCGCAAACCAGGGAGACACAGCCTCTGCGGAAAACCCAAGGTAGCGTCCTGTAGCCAAAAGCGGAAGCCGCATATATATATAGAGTATGTGCCTGCCCTGATCACTGATTGGTCTGTTTCTATGCAAATGAGGAATCCAAATTTGCGTAGTTTGATTGGTCCAAATTGCATTGTCCTGATTGGTCAGAATCACACATTCGGATTGGTTGTTGTGGCGCTACTGTGATTGGTCCTTAAAGATGCCAATGAGAATATAGCTGCTCAGCCCCAATTGGATGGGCCTGTCTCAGCCCATTGGTTGAAATAGAGGTACAGGCCCTTTATAAGGACTGGCTCAGGGGACAGGGGCCCGGTCTGCTGTTTTTCCCAGCGGTACTCTGGTCTGGAAAACGGGCCCAGTTAACCAGGAGTCATTTTTGGCAGCTACGTTCCTTTTTGGGGTCAACATTTTCAAAATGTATCCTAAGTGTATAGTAGAAGATCCGGCCATGTTTGTGTAATTAGACTGAAACCAGAGCTCCAGCCCAAGCCCTGTCTCCTCTGGGTGTGCCTGTTGCAGGGACACAGCCCCAGGTCCCGGGCAGGCAGCCCTGAGAGGGCCTTGCGGGGAGGCGGCTGTGGGGCTGGCCCTTCTCCCTGTCGCATTCCCACCACTCGTGCTCCCGCCTAGTCCCCTGCACGATGGAACCCGGGTCAGAAGCATGGCTGCTGCTCCCACAGGGCGGTCGGCATGTGGGCCCACCTTGTGCAGGCAGGGAGGACCTGCTGCAAGGCCAGAGCACGGCACCCCCAGAGCTGTCTCAGCAGTGAGGCTCCCCCCCCCCAACACGTGGGCGGGCCTGGGGCGCACTGCATAGCGCCATTGAGTGCTCACCGCGTTGTCCTCCGGCTCCAGCTCCAGCTCACTATCAGGAAACTGTTCTTGTAAGAGTAATGGCTGGATTCAAAAAAGCTGGGGTGATTGAGGTTTCAAAGGGACAGATAGAGCCTCCTACTATAAATGAAAATAATGTGCTTTTCCCGTCAGGATTACATTGCAGTAAATTTGGGCTCCTTAAGGTCTTAGCAAAATTGGTACAGAAAGCCATTTATAGTCGCATCTCTTGTTCTTGGTCACTACAAATAACCCTTTCCTTGCAACCTGGGAAGGAACCCCCTGGGGGTGTTGCCAACCCCCTGGGGGTGACAGGATGCTTTGCTGGGTAGAACTGGTGTGTTATGGAAGGAACTGAGAAAGCGAAGTGCAAACTGCTCGTGCCTTGCACCAGCAGGTGCAGTTACTGCCATGCACACACCTGTCACAGGTGTGCCTCTGCTCTCAATACGCTCAGGGCGAGGTCCTAACGCACTTTCCTTCTGGGACCTACGTGCATACCTGCCCGATGGGAAGGGGCCCAGCATTTTCATCTCGAGGGGAGCAGGCCCCGGGCCGCAAAATGACAGAGGCAGACAGGAGAGAAATGTCTCTGCACTAGAGACAAATCTAAATCTGAAACCTCACTGCCTCCTCAGAAGAGTCGTTTCCAATCTCAGGATACGCTGTGTGTGCTGCTGAAAGCTGATCAGCGCTGGAGAGGGGTTGGGTGGACTTTGGAGTCTGTGGTTGCAGGGCAGGCAGGGGGGCATCAGAATTTGTAGGAACAACAATGAACGTTTAGTGCGAGCCACAGCTTTATACTCGGAACAGGTAAGAGCTGTATAAATACATGTACATAGAGAGATAGGCATCATTTTATTTCCTCCCTCTGCTCAAAATGTAAAGCATAATGTGAGTCAACTGAAAACCTGATATTTACCAAAAGTTGATACACAAGAGCAGGTTTAAATAAAATTCCCTTCCAATTTCTGGGCCGGAAGCCCAGGAAATTAAAAAAAAAAAAAGTTAAAGGCACATGTGGGCCTGCTCAGTGTGAATGCCGGATGGAGCTTTTATTGAATTTGGCCTCAACGATGGTAGCATTATCTGCCATTCTGCATAAGTTTGAGCAGCCATTTAGATGGCAAATCTCTTTTTTCTTTTTTCAGGGTATTTTAAGTAAGAATAATAACTTCCTTTTTATATAGCACCTTTTATATGAAAGCACTTTCAAGAGTGACATCACCTTCCCGTTATTAAGACGCCCTATGTGTGCAGGAATATGGAAGCTGTTTCATGCCCCTGACACCACATAACAGTTATTTGTTTGCCTGTTTTTTCTGTAGCTGAGGGAAATGGAGGAAAATGTGTGCTAAACCCACAGACGGACGTTCTTGGGCAAAAGTGTGACCGGAAATGTAGCCCAGTTACTAACCTACACACGTGGTTTCTGTAGGAAGTGGTGTGCAGCCTTTTCGTGTCCGTGGGTGGGAAGCCACGTAGAGGTCTAGCTCACATCGGGATCTGAGAGTGTGTCAGGCCGTTTACAGAACTCTCGTCCCCAGGGCTGGGCTCAGTGGTTCTGATGGTTCTTTGACTCACACTGAAGAGCAAAACAGTAAGTTTTCAGCATCCAAATGGGAACACCCATTGAATGTCCTCACTGGAGCAAGCTCCTCCCTTTTCTGGTGAGAGCGTCGCGCTGGAGGACTCGGAGGACGTGAGTGAGTGCTGAGTGCTGAGTGCTGAGCCTGGCTCAGGGCGCAAGTCGCACGGATCTCAGTCAGGGGTCTCCACGTTAGTTTCCACCTTGGAAAGCGCTTTCCCAGCTTCCGGTCTGCACTTCTCTGCTGTCATCCTGTCTACTTCACAGGACGTGTCCCTATGGGACATTTTTTTTACCTGTGTGTCTTACTGCCAGAAAAGTGACCGCCTATATTTGGAAGCTCTCTCTTCCCAGATGACAGGGCTGTGGCCTTGAGTCCAGGGCTCAAATGCCAGGCTCGCTGCTCTGGGTTACACCCTGGTGAGCTTGAGTGGCTTTTGTCACCCACCTGCTCCAGCACCTCTGAGACCTTAATGTATATGTAGCCAGAGGTCTGGGGGAAACGCAAGCTCTGACGCGGCAGGTGAGGGCGGAGGCCTGACGTCTGTGTGTGCACCGAGCTCCCCGGCGATGCCAGCGCTGCTGCTCTGTCAGCTGGCACGTGCTAACCTGTCAGCTAGCTGGGACGCCCCAAACTCGAGGGACATGAGTGAATGAAAGTTAAACGCAGTGTTGGAATTATTTCAACAGTTAGGGAATCATAGAATCAAACCTGGCATTATTCCCTCTCAGCTTACATCTCATCGACGTTACTTCCTGTACAGAAGAGGAAAGTGAGGCACAGACAGGTGTGCACCTTTCGCCAGTTCACTGGTGGTCCAGCTGTGACAGCGGCCACCTGACACCCGGCCTCTTCTTTGGAACAGACGCTGCTGGTCCTCTGGGCTGGTTTTCTAGGGTAGACTGCATGGAGCGTGGAGATGGCAACAGACGGACAAGGTGGAGAAGGTCGGTAGGAAGGTGTGGGCAGGTGCTGTGCGTGCCTGTACTTTGTAGGGATGAGGGGCCACCTGGGGAAGAAACGCGACTGCCTGAAGTTCGCAGCTCTTCAGTGGGAAACCGATTCCATGCAAGAAAGGTGGCTGCCTCCACGGACCCTCCGCTAATGTAGGTGACTCGGTGCAAGCAGTGTGTTTCCAGTTTAGTAACATATATGTTCTTTTCTTTGCCCAATATTAATGGGCTAACACACGGGAATTTGAGAGTAAAAAACAAAACCTTCTCGAGTGGAGGATGGCTAGTATTAGCTGAGAAAGCACCTGAGACGAACGGTAAAGGTGAATGACAGCTGTTTGTTTCCGTCAGCTCTGGCTGCTCTAAGCCGTGCCCACAGCGGGTGCCGCGAACAGCAGACCTGGGCTTCTCACAGCTCAGGAGGCCGGATGTCTGAGATCAGGCTGACGCGTGGCTGGCTTCTGGGAAGGGCCCTCTTCCCGGCGTGTAGGCCGCCTCCTCGCCTTCGCCTCACTCGGCCTCTCCTCAGGCATTCATCCATCAGGCTGGGATTCACGACTCACCCACCTCCAAAGGCCCCACCACCTCGACACCATCGCATCGGGGTTAGGGTTCCAACATAGGAATTTGGGGGGGGGGATACACACATTCAGTCCGTGACATCGAGACAAAGCTAGGTGGAGGTGAAACAGCCTGCTAGATAGAAAACATTGCGTATGGGACCCGGAGACACGCAAGGCGAATGTGACAAACACGACTTGACACTTACAGGCATCTGTACCCAACGGGTCTTTTAAACTCTGAAAAAGTCAACAGGCAATGCTCACGTTTCAGCCGGTTTACCCTAGTGAAAGGCTTTTTCTTCGATACGTTACTGCCGCGTTCATGTGAGCGGGCATGGCCATGGAGAGATGCATGCGGTTAGTTCTGTCTTAACCACGGAGCACCCATCCACAGCCAAGAGGCCTGTACACATCGAAAGACCTGTTTCCACCATTTCCTGGTCCCCGAGCAGTGTCTTGGGGAGGAAGTGATTTCCAAACCTTGTCCCGGCAAAGCCAAAACGCGGGAACCCTTTCCTCCCTCCAGCGGTTGGTGGGAAAGCAGCTGTGACAACCTTCCAAGCTGTCACTCGGCCCCACACACAGCACACGTTACAATTTCATCCAAAGAGCATGAGTCCAGGGTAAGTTTTCTCAAATTATTTTTTATTTCATGCCATTCATTTTGATCACCTACTTTGTATTTTTCTTTTCATTTTTGTTAACATGATTAAGGGAAAAGAGATTTTTCTCATTGAAACACACACTTTATTGTGCTAAAATACCTTTTGAGAAACCAAGAGCTAGAATCCTTTGGTCCAGTGGCTCTAAATTTGTGCTGCTCATTAGAAGCCCCTGCGGGACTCAGACACCTAGGGCCCGGCCTCCCTGCTCTGATTGGTGCCAGTCTCTGGGTACCAGACCCGGGTGTCAGTATTTTTTAGCTGCCCGTGTGAGTCATCCGTGCAGCTAAGTTTGAGGTGCATCGTGCATTGACTTGTGTCCCCCCCACCCAAATGTACCTGTGAGGGTGACCTTGCTTGGAAACAGGGTCTTTGCAGATGTAAATAGTTAACTGCAGGTGAGGTTTCCCAGGATTAGGATGGCCCGTAATCCAGCGGCTGGTGTCCTTTTATAAGGAGGGGAATGCGGCACAGACATCCAGAGAGGAGAGAGTTCCCTTGAAGACAGACAGACAGACAGACGCAGAGGGAAGGTGGCCATGTGAGCTGAAGCTGGTCTTGGCCTTGTACAGTTGCAAGCCAGGGGCCACCGGACGTGAGAAGAGCAGCATGGGACAGATGCGTCCCTCTGAGCCCCTGAGAAGGGACGGCCCTGCCAACACCTTGGTTCCGGATGCCTGGCCTCCTGAGCTGTGAGGGATGGATTGATTGTCTTGAGCTGCCGCCTCTGGAGTAACCTGTCCGGCCGCCAGGCCAAGGAAGGCAGCGCGTCTTAGCTGAGCCGAGGTCGAGGCCGGCTGGCGTGGGCGATTCCTCCGCTTTGTCTCTTTGGCTCTGTGGTTGAGTTGCTCGCTGAGGAGACATCTGCAGCGACTGTGCCTGAGTAAACGCCATCCCCGTGGTCACCAGTGCCGCCAGCCAGGCAGGGAGACTCAGCTCATGTCCTGACGGGACGTGCCTTTGGGTCAGTGCCGTTTTAAGGCTAGACTTTGCCATGTGTAATCTCAATCACTCGCTGCTGACACAGTTTATCCGTGGCCCACAAGGTCCTGTGGGGCACGTCACCGCGACAGCCTCTTAAGCAAGCCCCACCGCCGCGGGAGACGGTCAGTGTACTCGGAACGTGCAAGTTGGGACAGTGAAAAAAAGCTGGCTTTTTCTGGAATCTTTTGGCCGAGGTGACGCGTCCACACACGCACTTTCCCATAAGCCATCTCTCCCAGCGCTTCCTCAGCGATTATGAAACGACCCGACAGTGCAAACTGTTGTAAAGATGAGATCAAGAGAGACAGCGGGCGACTCCTCATCCTCCTCAAGCCATTGTCACAAACGCCAGGACCGCTGGAAGCACGCGTAGGCGTGGTTTGTAGCCGGGAGCAAACAGCTCAGAAATGCAAGCCGGTGGAGCCGCCTCTGGCCAGGCAGCCGTTTGCAACGACGACTTAATCGGCTGTGAGTGGGGCTGCGGTTAATGAGGCGACACTGGCTGCAGCGTGAATGTGTGTGACACCGAGAGCAGGTCCACAAGAGCACAGACTGTCATCCCGGATATGACTGTTACGTCCCCCGACACCCCGTAATGGGAGCTGCAACCACAAAGGCAGGGAGCCAGGACAGTTTCCAGGGAGGGTCAGGGGGTCGCCCAAGTGGCAACACCGCAGGGGGGAGAGCGGGTGGCTTCTCTCAGGGGGACTGCTGGTTCTCAGTATTGTGGCCGCTGCTCTTTTGACCA